TCGACATCATTTCTTCGTCGTTAGAAAATCTTTGACCATTTTTGAAGTTGGGGAACAGAAAATAGTCCGGGGGGCTAAATCTGGCGAATAGGGTGCATGAGGTAGCAATTCAAATATTAATTCATTAATTCGCTAAACACTCAATTGAAACCTCTTCACGACACTGTTTTTGGTCGAGTGTGAGCAAATACGGAACCCATATTGGACACAGCTTTCTCATTTCCAAATCTTCAGATAATATGCGATGTACCGTACTTTTTGAAATGCCTACTATATCTGCTAGCTCGCGCACTTTCAGTCGACGATCATCCATTACCGCTTTGTGGATTTTCTTCACCATTTCTGGAGTCGTCACCTCATTTGGTCGCCCACTGCGATGCTCGTCTTGGCAGCTCGTACGGCCTCGTTTAACCTCTGCTACCCAATATTTTACTGTTGTAAACGGAGGCGCAGACCCGCCCAAAGCAGAATCTAGTTCAACTTTTATATTGGATGGGCTGAGGCCTTTCAAATGCAAGTATTGTATCCATAACGATGACCATTTTCTCCATTTTTACAAATTCACTGAAGACGTTCACTATTGACGGCTGCCAAGCATATACTTAACAACGTGGCGTCTTCAAACTTGAAAACAAATACCAGGGATAGATCAACTCTAAATATGTATGTACTATATTTATACATATGTATTTTTTGTTAACGGCATCAGATCTGCACCGATTATTCGATTTTCAAAACTGAGGTTTCGAATTAAAGGGCATGGCCTCTAAATTTACAACAAGGTATGAGATTTTTAAAAAGGGTTGCCACCTTTTTTAAATTATAAAACCTGCACCACTCGCTGTATTTTATCAATGGTATCAGCAACTGCTTTTCTTTTTCAAATTATTTGCTTTACGCCGATGATCTGAAAGTGTTCACAGTTGTCAAGGACTCATCCGATGCAATAAATCTTCAAAGGGACTTGGATAAACTGCATTTATGGTGTATATGAAGAAAGACCCTACTTTCTTTGAATAGAACAAAATGTTTTCACTTAATATTTTCTAGGCGTCAAAATGTTATTTCAACACAGTACAGTAGTGCTAACTGTGCGCTTCAAAAAGTAACAGAGACTAAGGACCTTGGAATCGTGTTTGACTCTAAGTTATCCTTCAATACTCATATTAATTTTATCCTTTCGAAATCTTACTCTGCTCTTGGCTTTATTCGACCCATATACCTTTAAATTGCTTTTTACGGCTCTTGTTCGTTCACACTAGGAATATGCGGTAATAGTTTGGAGACCATATGACCAACTATCGATAGGTAGAATTGAACGCGTTCAAAAAATATTTCTGAAATTCGCAATGCGTTCGCTGCGGTTTGAGGCTCCTGTTCCATCCTATGGCTCGCGGCTAATACTGATCAATTTAAGTACTTTAGAAAAGAGAAGAACAGTTCTTTCATTATCGTTCACTTATAATATAATTAGTGGCATCATTGACTGCCCAATTTTGCTTGAGCGGATAAGCTTTAATGTTCCACAAAGAAGTCTCCGAAATATTTACCCTTTTTACGGAGAAAGGTTCAAAACTAAATATGCAAGTAACGCTCCAATTTCTCGAGCACTTCGGGAATTCAATGCATTATCTAACACACATGAGCTACACTTTTCTTTGTCTAAATCGACTTTACTACTTATTTATCTTGTTGTATTTTCTCGTGTACCTACCTTGTACCTAGCCTGTACGATAAGTATGCACTTTTCACTTTCGTAGCATTCAACTGGTCGCGTCTTTGTGCCATGACGTAGCAAGCCGGTTGGAGTGTCCCCAATGTATGTATTTCCCACAAGCGACTGCTATACTTTACCTTCTTAGCTATTTGACGCCACGGTGTAATTACATACATACATATGTACGTCCATGTATATATTTATGTATGTAGAAATGTAAGCTTTAGCTATGAATCATTAGATATGTATACATATACTCGTGAAATCGTATCAAACTTCTTCGAAAGCGGGGCTTACGCTTGCGGATTCATTGATAAAATAAAGGGAAATATGCTCGCAGAACAAAAGCAAATATGATTAACGAAAGCACAATTAATAACAGCTACGAGAAAACGCCAATTTCATTTAACCGGCCCTTTCGATTTTTTTCACAAAAAATTCTTTAAGGGTCGTTTTCTCAAGTATCTGCCGTTCAAACACATTTTTTCGGAACAAAATTTGGCTGACATAAAAAATCCCTTGAAAATTTTATTTAAAAATTTTAATGTAATTGATTGATTAATCTTTATTAATACATATGTGTAAACTAAATGATTCCATTTGAAAAGACAATCTTAACTAATTGCCAAATATAAATTTAGTTTAGTAAGTAGAGTGGAGTACTTAGCTTACATTTTTTGACTTGTTTTCATGCAAATAGAAGAATATTAACAGGAAATCGACTCCTGAGTGCAAGATCGACGTATCTCGGCAGCCAGTTCGAAAAGGCCCTGTTTCAAAAAACTTTTTAAGAACGCCCTATCTCAGAATTCGGTTCAAAAACGCCCTAACTCAGCTGCCGCTTCAAAAACGTCCTATCTCAGCACATTTTCAATATATTTTGATTTGAGATAGGGCGTTCTTTAACCGAAATCTGAAATAAGCCCTTCTTAAACCAAATTCTGGGATAGGGCGTTTTCGAACTGGCTGCCTAGATACGTTGATCTTCCACTTAGGTGTCGAAATATACTATACTATAATAATACTATTATCTTACTACGAAGATATGCAGGACAGTCGTATAAAAAAATTAAAAAATGTGAAGTAAATACATATCGTCGCCCTTATGCCAGGAGCCTGAATGTGAAAATTTATCAATTTTGAATTATTGGGTTGACTTGACTAACCTTTGGATGTCCTATGTTATACCAAAACCCAGAATTCCATGTGCAAAAATATGGCACAGATGCTGTTATTTTGTTTAATTTTTCTTTTGTTAAAATTTGATTTTTTTAATTTTTTCATGAATAAAAAAGTGATATATATGTGGTTTATGGAGAATTTTATTAGTATTGATTTGACGTATCTCATTTTATGATTTTTAAATTGGATCGTAAGATATATGTGATTAAGTGGAACCACTTTTTGTTTTAATCTGAATAACGGTAAATTGCAAAGATCTCCAAAATGTATCCATAGAAAAAAAAATTAACTCGATTTTCGGAATCACCGAGCAATTCTACATAGAAATTGGATAGTGGCGCCTTGAGAACAAAACCAAACTAAAATTTGTTATCCAGTGTTATTTAATAAAAGCAGTGCAATGTGGAATAACATTATGGGCACCAAATGAATGAAAAAATTCTGTTGAATTTAAAAACACAATAAAGTTTTTTGGTTTACAAGGACGAATAGGTATTGAAAATGCACTTTTGATAACTTTTATATTCTCTAGTAAATAAATTTTGGAGGACGAAATTCAATGATGTGGTCGTATGTACATATATTAGTGCTCAAACAATAATCTTATCAAAAATAAATATTGCAAATTTTCAAGGATTTTTAAGGACAAAATTTTTAAAGGACTTTCCCATACCCATTCGTCCTTATGCACCAAAAAATTTTATTTTATTTTCTTTTTATGCTAAATTTTTTTATTATTTTTTTAAATATTTTTTTACATAATTTTTTGAAATAATCATATTTTTAAATTCCAAAGTCCGTTTAAAAAAATCCCGGCGTAAGAGGGATAAACTAAGTTCGCAGTTAAACGTGACTCAAACAAAAGACCACGTGTTGATTTTTAAAAATATTTATTTCTCTATAAAAATACCGTACAAAAACCACATGAATCATAGTTACAAGCTTTATACAAAGTTTAGGAAAATTTCACAAACTTTCATCAAAATTTCATTTTTTTAATCTGATTCTTTAGAACATTTTTGGGTATGCAATTTTAGTCTAATGAAGTGCAAGTTTCAAACGGCTAGAAAATTTAATTGATTTCTGAGAATTTTTTTGGTGACGGATTTTTGCACTTTTTCCATATAAGCATGAATTTCTTATGAAACAAAATGCGGAGACCGTTAGCAACAACATTTCAAAAATTTTCACAAAAGTTTTTTGTAAATTACACTTGTTATAAAAAAAAAAACGCTAAAGTAGTCTGTAAAAAAACAATTATCAAAAATGAGCGCGATTTTTTAGCTGGTTGAAACTTAGAAGGTAAACTTCACAGGTTACGGGAGGGGCTTTGCTGGTATACCTAATTCCGAGAAGGCCGAACAGTCGTTGCCCTTGTTTTACCGATAATTTAGATGTCGTCGGTATTCACCAGGAATTTTACGTTCTTGTAAAGAATTGTTGCATGCATCTTATCAACTCCTCCGCGGAATTACAGGCGGTGAAACATTGACTCATCATCCACTGGGGGCTCGGGTTCGTCTTCCCGTCGTACCAGTTGTTCTTTCGGGCTCGCTAAAATCCATCTACTTCTTGGACGGCGGTACGTGATGAGCAGGAAATGTCATTCCACTGCTTGCGTATGTCGGTTATTAAACTTACGAAATTTTAAAAAGAAGATTTAAAACAAAGCTCTAAAGTCTTAAGCCTGTACAATAATGTAAACATACAAGTAGTTAAAAACGTATTATTCGCATACCTTTTCGAAATTCTAACTGGCTAGAAACTGTCAACAAAAAAATGGAAACAGTGGGGGGCAGTTATATTGTGTGCAATCGTATTTCTTATTAAGTACCCTGTAAACATTTGAGGCAGGCTAACCGTTCTTGAATTAAGAGTATTCAATGCGTGGTATCAGCGCGCCAATGCATCGCTCCGCTCATCGGTGGGCTGAGTTTTAACACCGACTCAATGCGCTCGAAGCCAATGTTTTAGCCGCAGCTCAGCAACAGAAAGAAGTCAACTGGTCAGCTGCTCAACGCTCAGCAGCAACTTTTATGAATTATAAAATCGCGATGCCGCCTAGTAATCGTTTCAGTTATTTGTTTGTTTCGCGCTCGTACTGAAGTGGTTAATCGCTACATTACATGGCATTACAACGTGCATAGTTCTTACATATGTATGTATATACATACATACTATTAAAGAATAAATAAACAATAAATAAATACAGGCTTATAAATAAAATACTTACTCGTATCATAAACAGCCCACAAGTGCACCGTTACATTTCGATTTGCATACATACATACATGTATTCGTAAATACATACATACATACATACATATGTACATAAATTAAGCCTCGCGTATTGAAAGTGAAAATGCCACAAGAACGCCAAACCCAAGCCATAAATGGCAATGTGAATGACAAATACGGACGACCTGCCACGCCAGTTGCAACCTTTACAAATGCTGGATTTACCAACGACGAACACGGCACTGAGACGATATTTCGTCGCAAAAGTGGAAATTCGAATGGTCTGCAGCTTGCGGAGAGCGGTAGCGCGAAAGTAACAGCTACACAAAATCCGCCGCCCTTGGACTTTGATGACATTTTGCCAATGATTGGAGAATTTGGAAAATACCAGAAGATTTTGTTCCTTCTGATGATACCTTTCGCTACATTTGTTGCATTTGTTTATTTTTCGCAAATTTTTATGACTTTGGTGCCGGAACAACATTGGTGTCATGTGCCAGAACTTGAAACTTTAACTGTCGAAGAAAGGTAAGTGTTGTGGCTTAATTACATATGTAATAATTATTCATTATTGGCGCTGTAATCTTACAGCTTATACAGTGTGATTTTTGCACGGCAAGAAAGATCTTTACTTCCCAATTGCCTACTCCGTCCAAAGTAGCACTTATTTTCAAAAGAGTGATTCTCCGTTGGATTTCAAGACATTAAACGAACTCGTCTACTTTTTCCAACTTGTAACTGCTAACAGTGACGTGTGGATGCCGAGACGCTTAGGCTCTGACTTCTGACTGTCTGACTTTTGTCCTTGTTCACCAAAAGACCCATTCGCTTTGCTTCTGCATTTAATATATGTATGTAATTACGGTGACCATCCGTAATTTATTTCAATGGACAGTCCTTTTTCTCATGATGTTGTCCTTTGACTTTATTTATTTTTCTAAAAGTGAATTTTGTCCTTTATTACAAAACTTGTCCCTTGAAAGTATTTTTTTTTTTTTTTCATACGATGACAGACAATAATGCATTTAATAATTTTGGAGAGCTCAACCTTGTGATTTATCTTGTCGAACCGAGTGCGTTCACCATTTTTATCAATGTAGTAAAAAATGGAAAATGAAGATTGTGCAAAGCTTATTCTGTTCTACGGGTTATACAACGCGTTGGGGATTTACCATAGATTATGACTGCCACACTGCATAGGAAACATAACGAATCACAATTCAGCCAGAAGCTCTTACTGCGATATATTACAGTGACCTGATATGTACTGCAACTACTTTCTCATGTAAATGATCTTTTTATTTTCCCGCACACAGCCGAGAAGGCTGATAAAACTCGAAGATTCTTAGTCCGCTGGGCAATCGTTTAAGCGATGTGAGGAAGTGTTCGATGCTCTTTACCTTCTTTCCGTTTCTTCAACTACGGTAGAAATTATTACGAGGGAAGCTATTGCGCCTTCGTTTATTTCCATTGAACAGTTTGCGTTGATATGACCAACCTCTGAGTTCGCGGAAAAACGTTCAATGGGCCAAAGTTCGTTTGAAAATGGTTTGCTTGGCGGCATTGAGGGCAGAATTTAACGACTACAGATTAGTTCTCTTTCCGGCCAATGCTGTTTCCAGGAATATTCTGTCCCCTGGAACCCAGACTACATTATTTATGCATCGCGTAGCCAAATCGCTTGGAACCATTCTTCATTGAATATTTACCTTTGAAGGGCTTTTGTTACACTTTAGATGTTAAAACGAAGCCTTCAGAGTAGATGTTGATAGAGTAATCTATTAAACAGAAAAGCAGCCTTCTGTTTATCTCTAAATTGAATTTAGAAGGCACTACAGTCCTCGGGTAGGCTCAGTTTTATGCTTACAAGTAGTTATTCCGAATGGAAGTTGCGGCCGCCGACTTTATTATTTAGCTCAGAACCACCTTGAAATGGGACTAGGGAATTCTTTCCGAAAACTTGTTATCAAAGTAGGCAGGTAAAATGTTTGTTGACCTAGTTTCATTTACGCTAGACTGGAGTCGTGATAAGCACTCTTTTCATTTTAGTTTTTAACATATTTTTGGTCAGCGTTCGTAATAACACTATAACTCCGAAGAAAAGATTGCTCTTTACTTCAGCTGGTGTACTATATGTGGCTAAAAGCTGCTGTTTTGTATATAACGGTTCCGGTAAAGCGCGCAGAATATGAATATATCGTCGCTTAGCGCGCAATACCTGGTAACCGCCAAATGCAATACCACGTATGAAGCTGTCCGAAAATTTCACAATATAGTAATAAAAAACTTACTTTCATAAAAACTGTTGAAAGGATTTCTAAACGAACTTACTAAATGAAGGCTTATTCTATAATTACTCCCCATTAAATTTACGGAGTAGGCACCCATTGACATGGGGTAACCAAAACTGATTTTTTTGCATTTGGCGAATACGAGGTAGTCAACCTGAGGACGCTGAGTTCAATAAAGTAATTGGTTTTTTTATAACTTTCATACTTACACTGTAAATTCAGTTTGAAGTTGAAAATTCGGGTTCTTCTAGCATTTACATATAACCTTAATTCACAAAGGCCCTAACCAACAAGTTTTTTTTATTTTACAGGAGAAGCAAAACAGGTAGGGCTTTTTAAAAAGAGGCATGTGACTCCGTGGTTTTTGTTACTAACACTTTAAAATTTTTATTGAAAGTGTGTTTTAATCTATCCTTCCAAAATCTCTAAAAACCGCAGTTTCGAAAAAAAGTGTTGGTTAGGGCTTTTGTGAATTAAGGTAACGATATGTATGTAGGTATGTATGTATGTATATATAGTTCATTCGATTTTGAAAAGTGAGGTCTCAGTTTGCAGGCCTTGGCCTGTAGATGCACACTAAAGTTTATTTTTTAAGTGTTACCACCTTCTACAAAATTTAATTAAAATTATTTAATAAGTTAAATGAATTAGATATTACAACATGAGTATCAATCGAAATGGAAGGCAATTAGGCAACCGAAATATTTATAAGTATTAGACAAAAGAAAAAATTTGACTTATTTAGCAAAAAATAAAGTGAAAACATTCCTTAAACTTTAAAGTAGATTTAAGAGTCCACTAAATTAAAAGGAATATAACCAGAACAAATCACTCATTGGCAATGTATGTTTGTGTTATAAAATAACAATCATAGCAAATTTTTCGTTTGACAAAAATATTATTTTAATTTAACTCAATTCGACTTCACAAACAGGTGGCAATCCTCTACTACAACTCTACTTTAATTACCTAGTTTCCTGAATTCAAATGTTACCCATCTTTTAATAATTCATTTAACTTATTAAATAATTTCAATACAACTTTTTAACGGATGGTAACTTCTTTCAAAAAAAAAACTTTATTACACATATATATACAGAACAAGAATGGTGCAGAAGAAATAAAAAATTATTTTATGCATTTGCCAAAAACACATTATTTCTCAAAGTGCAAGAAAGTGGCACATTTATTTTTATTTTTTTTTCAACAGAGACCATACTTTTGATTTAAGGAATAAAAAACATGGTTTTACATAATTTTTAGATTTGCTGCTTTAAACTTTAGAATTACTTTTATTCTCAACAAAATATCTTTGCATTTAAAATATAGCGAGTCTAAGCTACAGAACTCAATTTTTTAAGAAATTATCTTATTTGCAATTGTTTTAAGCAATTGTAAATGTCAAAATTTAAAATTTAACATAATATCTCATAAGTTGTACTTTTCACAATTTTTCCGTGTAAAGCGTAAAACTCATCTCGCTCTGACTAAAATATTTGGTTTGAAATGCGTCAAAATCATTTTATACGAAAATTGGGACCGGAGCCATAATGGATAAATTACCTCTGCAACAATACCAAATATGTCTATATTTGGGACAACAAAAATGTTGATTTTTGCGCGCACAGAGAAAATTATGTTTTTCGTAGACTTACTATAATTTCCTTTTAGAAGTCTTCAAAAAATTAAAATCTTCAGAAAACACAGAGTAGGATAAAAAAGTAAACAAATCCGTTCGGCTCTTCTTGCGTGATGTGGGCACCAATACTTGTTAGGCAATTTTAAATTAAAAAAATATACGGCTATAAAACAATGCACGATCCTAAATATGTATATAGAAACATGCCACTAAAAGAAAATGATCTCAACGATATTGTGACAAAATACATTCCTTCAAGTACACAATCCCACTGCTTTCACCAAATCTACTTATTGAAACTTATTTTATCATCGATACGCATTTTTTAATTGCCAGGACGTATGATGAATGCGAAAATTAGTAACCTTTGGCTTGAACTACTATAAAATAACTGTAAAGTCTTGAGATCATTCTGGCATATGTAGTGACTGCGTCACAGCGTGTTTTATCGATTATGGAGAGTGTGAAAGTGGAAAAATTTGTGTGAATAGTTTGAAAAGTTTGGGCTGTTAGAAAATATATTGTCAAGTCCCACGGTGAAATTATAAGCAGATGAAGTAATCAAACAGCTTTCACGCTCTCTTTTCTTGACAATCGGCTATCTTATAGAAATTTTTAAAGGCAAATTTTCAAATAAGGTAGTGTCACATCTTCCTTCTCGCTCTAGTTACTACACTTGATATAATTTCTCCATGGACAAGTCCTAAGAAAAAACAAGTAACTGAGAATTGTAATCATAATTAACATAGCTCAATCTGATTTAATTCACACATAAATTTACGTAACTCAATGTTAAAGATAATTCCGATACGTCCATTTAAATTTGAACTCCGAGATCTTTTTTTTTATTATTAGCTCTGATCCCATGATTCAATAATAGAAAGGTTTTGTAATAAAACAGTCTTCTCGCTCCCACACATAAAATCGGCTCCTTTACTTGTGCAGAATGTTGCTTACTCTACAGTTTCTAGTGATATTAGTAGTAAAACCAAAAATTCGTCATACTAAATATTCGTTGGCATCACCTTCGTTTGTGTAATTTTCTGGAACAAGCGTAGAATAGTGACCGTTTAGCTATAAAATAACCAAAAATGCTGATAGATAGAACTTTTTACGCTGATTACAACGATGCCAAATTTATTAGGCGCAGGCAAAAAATAACGAAGATATAGAGGTTTATTTGCTTTGTTTATTTGTATTTTTTATTATCACTGAACTGTTGAAACCCAAAAGTACATCATGATAAAATATGTAATATCGAATTAAAGATAATAACTTGTACTTTCTAAATAATATAAATATATATATATATATATATATATATATATAATGGTAAATATCTTTACCATTGATTATGCAGTTTTTTTCAAAAAAGATTATTTCATGAAAAAATAACATTTGTGCGTTTTTTAGTGGTTTTGGTTTAAAAATACAAGAAGTTATAAATTATGTACACCAGCTGAAAGACAAATTAATTATCTTTATGGTGGTGTCATTCGTTTTTTTTATTGGTTATACCTACAGTTCGTAAGATATTAATATTTAAAAAATTTAAAAACTGAACTTTAACCTTCTAGAACGTCTTGATTTTTTTTACT